GGATCCCCACGTTACTACAATACTCACATCACACGGATCCACATGTTACTACAATACTCACAGCACACGGATCCACTTGTTACTACAATACTCACAGCACACGAATCCCCACGTTACTACAATACTCACAGCACACGGATCCCCATGTCACTACAATACTCACAGCACACGGATCCTCATGTCACTACAATACTCTCAGCACACGGATCCACATGTTACTACAATACTCACAGCACACGGATCCTCATGTTACTACAATACTCACATCACACGGATCCCCATGTCACTACAATACTCACATCACACGGATCCACATGTTACTACAATACTCACATCACACGGATCCACATGTTACTACAATACTCACATCACACGGATCCACACGTTACTACAATACTCACATCACACGGATCCACATGTTACTACAATACTCACATCACACGGATCCCCATGTCACTACAATACTCACATCACACGGATCAACATGTTACTACAACACTCACATCACACGGATCCACATGTTACTACAATACTCACAGCACACGGATCCCCATGTCACTACAATACTCACATCACACGGATCCACATGTTACTACAATACTCACAGCACACGGATCCACTTGTTACTACAATACTCACAGCACACGGATCCCCACTTTACTACAATACTCACATCACACGGATCCTCATGTTACTACAATACTCACATCACACAGATCCCCATGTCACTACAATACTCACATCACACGGATCCACATGTTACTACAATACTCACAGCACACGGATCCACATGTTACTACAATACTCACATCACACGGATCCTCATGTTACTACAATACTCACATCACACGGATCCCCACGTTACTACAATACTCACATCACACGGATCCCCACGTTACTACAATACTCACAGCACACGGATCCACATGTTACTACAATACTCACAGCACACGGATCCACATGTTACTACAATACTCACAGCACACGGATCCCCATGTCACTACAATACTCACATCACACGGATCCACATGTTACTACAATACTCATAGCACACGGATCCATTTGTTACTACAATACTCACAGCACACGGATCCCCACGTTACTACAATACTCACATCACACTGATCCACATGTTACTACAATACTCACAGCACACGGATCCCCATGTCACTACAATACTCACAGCACACGGATCCTCATGTTACTACAATACTCACATCACACGGATCCCCATGTCACTACAATACTCACATCACACGGATCCACATGTTACTACAATACTCACATCACACGGATCCACATGTTACTACAATACTCACATCACACGGATCCACACGTTACTACAATACTCACATCACACGGATCCACATGTTACTACAATACTCACATCACACGGATCCCCATGTCACTACAATACTCACATCACACGGATCCACATGTTACTACAATACTCACAGCACACGGATCCCCATGTCACTACAATACTCACAGCACACGGATCCTCATGTTACTACAATACTCACATCACACGGATCCCCATGTCACTACAATACTCACATCACACGGATCCACATGTTACTACAATACTCACAGCACACGGATCCACATGTTACTACAATACTCACATCACACGGATCAACATGTTACTACAATACTCACATCACACGGATCCCCACGTTACTACAATACTCACAGCACACGGATCCCCATGTTACTACAATACTCACATCAGACGGATCCCCATGTTACTACAATACTCACAGCACACGGATCCACACGTTACTACAATACTCATAGCACACGGATCCCCATGTCACTACAATACTCACATCACACGGATCCACATGTTACTACAATACTCACATCACACGGATCCACATGTTACTACAATACTCACATCACACGGATCCACACGTTACTACAATACTCACAGCACACGGATCCCCATGTTACTACAATACTCACATCCGACGGATCCACATGTTACTACAATACTCACATCACACGGATCCACATGTTACTACAATACTCACAGCACACGGATCCACATGTTACTACAATACTCACATCACACGGATCCCCACGTTACTACAATACTCACATCACACGGATCCACATGTTACTACAATACTCACATCACACGGATCCACACGTTACTACAATACTCACAGCACACGGATCCCCACGTTACTACAATACTCACAGCACACGGATCCCCACGTTACTACAAAACTCACAGCACACGGATCCCCACGTTACTACAAAACTCACATCACACGGATCCACATGTTACTACAATACTCACATCACACGGATCCACATGTTACTACAATACTCACATCACACGGATCCTCATGTTACTACAATACTCACAACACACGGATCCACTTGTTACTACAATACTCACATCACACGGATCCACATGTTACTACAATACTCACAGCACACGGATCCCCACGTTACTACAATACTCACATCACAAGGATCCACATGTTACTACAATACTCACAGCACACGGATCCACTTGTTACTACAATACTCACATCACAAGGATCCACATGTTACTACAATACTCACAGCACACGGATCCCCATGTTACTACAATACTCACATTACACGGATCCACATGTTACTACAATACTCACATCACACGGATCCACACGTTACTACAATACTCACAGCACACAGATCCCCATGTTACTACAATACTCACATCACACGGATCCCCATGTTACTACAATACTCACAGCACACGGATCCACACGTTACTACAATACTCACATCACACGGATCCACATGTTACTACAATACTCACATCACACGGATCCCCATGTCACTACAATACTCACATCACACGGATCCACATGTTACTACAATACTCACAGCACACGGATCCCCATGTCACTACAATACTCACAGCACACGGATCCTCATGTTACTACAATACTCACATCACACGGATCCCCATGTCACTACAATACTCACATCACACGGATCCACATGTTACTACAATACTCACAGCACACGGATCCACATGTTACTACAATACTCACATCACACGGATCAACATGTTACTACAATACTCACATCACACGGATCCCCACGTTACTACAATACTCACAGCACACGGATCCCCATGTTACTACAATACTCACATCAGACGGATCCCCATGTTACTACAATACTCACAGCACACGGATCCACACGTTACTACAATACTCATAGCACACGGATCCCCATGTCACTACAATACTCACATCACACGGATCCACATGTTACTACAATACTCACATCACACGGATCCCCATGTTACTACAATACTCACATCACACGGATCCACACGTTACTACAATACTCACAGCACACGGATCCCCATGTTACTACAATACTCACATCCGACGGATCCACATGTTACTACAATACTCACATCACACGGATCCACATGTTACTACAATACTCACAGCACACGGATCCACATGTTACTACAATACTCACATCACACGGATCCCCACGTTACTACAATACTCACATCACACGGATCCACATGTTACTACAATACTCACATCACACGGATCCACACGTTACTACAATACTCACAGCACACGGATCCCCACGTTACTACAATACTCACAGCACACGGATCCCCACGTTACTACAAAACTCACAGCACACGGATCCCCACGTTACTACAAAACTCACATCACACGGATCCACATGTTACTACAATACTCACATCACACGGATCCACATGTTACTACAATACTCACATCACACGGATCCTCATGTTACTACAATACTCACAGCACACGGATCCACTTGTTACTACAATACTCACATCACACGGATCCACATGTTACTACAATACTCACAGCACACGGATCCCCACGTTACTACAATACTCACATCACAAGGATCCACATGTTACTACAATACTCACAGCACACGGATCCACTTGTTACTACAATACTCACATCACAAGGATCCACATGTTACTACAATACTCACAGCACACGGATCCCCATGTTACTACAATACTCACATTACACGGATCCACATGTTACTACAATACTCACATCACACGGATCCACACGTTACTACAATACTCACAGCACACAGATCCCCATGTTACTACAATACTCACATCACACGGATCCCCATGTTACTACAATACTCACAGCACACGGATCCCCATGTTACTACAATACTCACAGCACACGGATCCCCATGTTACTACAATACTCACATCACACGGATCCCCATGTTACTACAATACTCACATCACACGGATCCACACGTTACTACAATACTCACAGCACACGGATCCACATGTTACTACAATACTCACAGCACACGGATCCCCATGTTACTACAATACTCACATCACACGGATCCCCACGTTACTACAATACTCACATCACACGGATCCACATGTTACTACAATACTCACAGCACACGGATCCACATGTTACTACAATACTCACAGCACACGGATCCACATGTTACTACAATACTCACAGCACACGGATCCCCATGTTACTACAATACTCACAGCACACGGATCCACATGTTACTACAATACTCATTTTCCTTTTGTGTCAATAAAAGGCTACATTCCACCTCTTTGTTTTATTGCTTTGAATCAATTTGTGGCACCACCTGCAGGCGAAAGCCAGATCCTGTCAGACCTCTGAAGCTAAGCAGGGCAGGGCCTGGTTAGTTCAGTGATGGGAGACTTCTGGGAACAGCAGGTGCCACAGTGGTATGGAGGACCATGGCTGCCAAAACAATAAATATATACAGAAATGAATAATTACATAAATTAAAACAAATTCATGCAATTATGAGAATAAGTGCATTTATTTATTTCTCTATTTATTTATTTCTCTATTTATTAATTTTTGTATTTATTCATACATTTATTTCTCTATTTCAGTATTTATTTCTCTATTTATTTATTTATTTCTGTATTTATTTCCGTATTTCTCTTAATGATATGCAAATCATGGGTGGGCCGTGATGCCTCTGCTGTAAGCTCATTGGTTAATCTTTTTCCTTGCTCCATAGATTGTCCAGCATAGGCGGTCATGTTGAGATCAATGTGTTCTCGCTATAGCCATGTCAGAACGAAAAAATAAAAATAAAAATCTCAAGCATTCTTCCACATGCAACAATTGCATTGTGTGTGTGTGTGTGTTTTTTTATTTTTTTATACAAATAAGTAAATTATCCTTTGCTTTGTGTCGCTGAACCGCCTCCATTTTGGAGTGGTAAACGGTTGCATGTTGGACCTCAAGCATATCTAGTTGGGGACTGCTGTGCTATGTTGCCGCAGTAACAACTAGTAGCTAGCTAAACAAGTCGGAGACGTGTGATAGAAATGGATTTGCTTTGGAGGGAAATGTCTGATGAGCTGAGGAGACTGGGGGACAGGGAAATGTCTGATGAGCTGAGGAGACTGGGGGACAGGGACATGTCTGATGAGCTGAGGAGACTGGGGGACAGGGACATGTCTGATGAGCTGAGGAGACTGGGGGACAGGGAAATGTCTGATGAGCTGAGGAGACTTGGGGGACAGGGACATGTCTGATGATGAGCTGAGGAGACTGGGGGACAGGGAGTCTGTCTGATGAGCTGAGGAGACTGGGGGACAGGGATGTCTGATGAGTGACTGGGGACAGTCTGATGAGCTGAGGAGAATGGGGGACAGTCTGATGAGCTGAGGAGACTGGGGGACAGTCTGATGAGCTGAGGAGACTGGGGGACAGTCTGATGAGCTGAGGAGACTGGGGGACAGTCTGATGAGCTGAGGAGACTGGGGGACAGTCTGATGAGCTGAGGAGACTGGGGGACAGTCTGATGAGCTGAGGAGACTGGGGGACAGTCTGATGAGCTGAGGAGACTGGGGGACAGTCTGATGAGCTGAGGAGACTGGGGGACAGGCAAACGAGAGACTGTAGTGTTGACTTTATTAAGGCCCAGCTCATTCAGCTGCTTTTGAAAAGGACCTCAGTCATAGGTTCAAGTCTGACTGGAAGGATGTGTTGATGAGGAGGCTCAGCTCCGAGAAACGCCTGTAGGCCTACTGACGCATGTAGGCCTACTGACGCATGTAGGCCTACTGACGCATGTAGGCCTACCGACGCATGTAGGCCTACTGATGCATGTAGGGCTACTGACGCCTGTAGGCCTACTGACGTTTCTGCCACGAGGACTGGTGTCACAGGCTGTAGTTGGTGTGGTCCTTTTTGCTGTTGATTATGTTTAACGTAATGAATACAGAATCTATGTACTTTATAGTAATACTAAATGTGCCCTGTGTGGATTTCATCTGCCGGGGCGGGACTTTACGCAGCTGATCTAAACGGAAAATAATATAGTCAACACTACAGTACAGCGAGAACACAGCGATCTCAACATGACCGCCTATGATTAACCAATGAGCTTACAGCAGAGGCATCCCGGCCCACCCCATGATTTGCATATCATTAAGAGAAATACGGAAATAAATAAATAAATAGAGAAATAAATATATAAATACAGAAATATATAAATACAGAAATAATTAAATATATAAATAAATAAATACAGAAATAAATGCACTTATTCTCATAATTGCATGCATTTCTTTGCAAATGTTATCTTTTTTTAAATTTATGTATTTATTTCTGTATATATTTATTGTTTTGGCAGCCACGGTCCTCCATACAGCGGGGCGGCTGTGGCTGTAAAGTGGGCTGGGGGTGGGCTGGGACAGAGGTCAGAGGTCATGTTTGTGTTGTCTTTTGTTGGAGCTCGGTCTGATCTCACATCACTCTTCCCTCTTCCCCGAGTCCTTTTGAAACTCTCCCCCGGGCCTTTACCCTCCCGAACCTCGCCCCTTTACCCTCATAACCCCAACCCTTCCCCCGGCTCCAGTCGGTGCAGAGATCAGGTGAGAGATGGAACTAACGCGGGGCTTTTGTGAGGAGCTTTGATCTGGAAAGAGAGAAACGCGCGTCGCAGCTGCTAGCATGCTAACTGGCTAACAGGCTAACAGGATAGCATGCTAACTGGCTAACAGGCTAACAGGATAGCATGCTAACAGGCTAGCATGCTATCAGACAGGCCGCACTAACTACGTAACCCACTCTCTGCGCTACGTACTAGCTTCGCAGTCATGGAAGTGTTTCTTTATGATCTGAATAACACCTCCACACACCCATGTGTGATGTACAGTATAACAATATGAATAAAACTACCATTAGGATTTAAAAAGAACTATAGCTAGCTACATGCTAACAGGCTACATGCTAACAGGCTACATGCTAACAGGCTACATGCTAACAGGCTGAGCGGCTGGCGCGTGGTCCATTCATTTAAATGCCGTAATGATTTTCATGATGTGGATTGTCAGCAGTGCTATAGAGTGTTTTTCTCTCTTAAACCAAAGCAGTGGTTGTTGTTGCAGTTAATGCAGATGTTTAGATGTTTATCCATGATGTGCGCAGGACATGGTTCATTTGGACTCGTTCACATTCAGTTGTGTTATATCTAACTTTACACAGCTCAAGTGTATGTACCTCTGTGGGACTAGCCTCTGCACAGACCTGTCCTGTCCACGGTCAGATCTGATGAACATCTATATTAAAGCTCTGTATAGGCATGAGCTCACACTTTGTTTTTATTATTCATTTCATATGTAATAAATACTCCCCACACACCACTATTTCTACCACAATATCAGTCCCAGATAGAAAGTGTTTGTCTGCTAACACTATGATAGAATAGAACTCTAAGTGTTCATGTTTCATAATGATGGAGATGATGCTTTCTGTAAGACTGGAGGATAATGTTACACTACATTATTACAGTTGATTATTGTAGTTTAATGGAAGTATTGACTAAATAGACAAAACTATAAAATAAATAATTAATGAGTGTGTGTTGTAGCCAGAACGTTTCCATGCTGTATTTTTGTAAATGTAGCAGTTTGGTGGATCTGTATAGTAGTAATGTCATCAGAACAATAAGGGCCCAGATCCAGGCTCACGGTGTGGTCGTGACGCCTCTGTCCTCTCAGGTTCATGTGTTCATACAGAGACAGTGTTGTGACGCCTGCCTCTGTCCTCTCAGGTTCATGTGTTCATACAGAGACAGTGTTGTGACGCCTGCCTCTGTCCTCTCAGGTTCATGTGTTCATACAGAGACAGTGTTGTGACGCCTGCCTCTGTCCTCTCAGGTTCATGTGTTCATACAGAGACAGTGTTGTGACGCCTGCCTCTGTCCTCTCAGGTTCATGTGTTCATACAGAGACAGTGTTGTGACGCCTGCCTCTGTCCTCTCAGGTTCATGTGTTCATACAGAGACAGTGTTGTGACGCCTGCCTCTGTCCTCTCAGGTTCATGTGTTCATACAGAGACAGTGTTGTGACGCCTGCCTCTGTCCTCTCAGGTTCATGTGTTCATACAGAGACAGTGTTGTGACGCCTGCCTCTGTCCTCTCAGGTTCATGTGTTCATACAGAGACAGTGTTGTGACACCTGCCTCTGTCCTCTCAGGTTCATGTGTTCATACAGAGACAGTGTTGTGACGCCTGCCTCTGTCCTCTCAGGTTCATGTGTTCATACAGAGACAGTGTTGTGACGCCTGCCTCTGTCCTCTCAGGTTCATGTGTTCATACAGAGACAGTGTTGTGACGCCTGCCTCTGTCCTCTCAGGTTCATGTGTTCATACAGAGACAGTGTTGTGACGCCTGCCTCTGTCCTCTCAGGTTCATGTGTTCATACAGAGACAGTGTTGTGACGCCTGCCTCTGTCCTCTCAGGTTCATGTGTTCATACAGAGACAGTGTTGTGACGCCTGCCTCTGTCCTCTCAGGTTCATGTGTTCATACAGAGACAGTGTTGTGACGCCTGCCTCTGTCCTCTCAGGTTCATGTGTTCATACAGAGACAGTGTTGTGACGCCTGCCTCTGTCCTCTCAGGTTCATGTGTTCATACAGAGACAGTGTTGTGACGCCTGCCTCTGTCCTCATCAGGTTCATGTGTCTTCATACAGAGACAGTGTTGTGACACCTGCCTCTGTCCTCTCAGGTTCATGTGTTCATACAGAGACAGTGTTGTGACGCCTGCCTCTGTCCTCTCAGGTTCATGTGTTCATACAGAGACAGTGTTGTGACACCTGCCTCTGTCCTCTCAGGTTCATGTGTTCATACAGAGACAGTGTTGTGACGCCTGCCTCTGTCCTCTCAGGTTCATGTGTTCATACAGAGACAGTGTTGTTCACCTGTGTGTGTCGTTCAGAACTACGTCAGAGATCGAGTGTCTGGAAACCAGCGGCTTCATAACAGTGGCAGCGATGGACTCCGGTGTGATTGAAGGTGGACTGAACGTTACTCTCACCATCAGACTCCTGATGCACGGGAAGGTACGCTCCTTTATCCACACATTTACCTCTGCTTATTGTTCAGGCATTCATATCTTTGCTTTTGTAGGAAGTGGGCAGCATAATAGGAAAGGTAAATGTTTTATTCATGAACTTCATTAATGAATTTACTGTTGCATTTTGTTTCATATCAAATCTGTGTTTTGTAGAAAGGTGAAACAGTAAAGAAGATGAGAGAAGAGGTGAATTGTTGTTACACGTTGAGCTCCTGTAGTTCGCCCTGTGCACGTGTATGTAACTGCTGCTTTGTGTTTAGAGCGGGGCTCGCATTAATATATCAGAGGGCAACTGTCCTGAACGGATCACAACACTGGCAGGCCCCACCACAGCCATCTTCAGAGCCTTCTCCATGATCATTGAAAAACTTGAAGAGGTTTGTGTGTCTTTGCAGGTCCATGATGCTGACGTCTTAATGACTGTGTTTCTGTTTCCAGGACATAAGCAGCTCCATGACAAACAGCACAGCCTCCACCAAGCCTCCGGTAACACTACGCATCGTGGTCCCTGCCAGCCAGTGCGGCTCGCTCATCGGCAAAGGAGGCTGCAAGATCAAGGAGATACGAGAGGTTTGGTCACAAAATGTAGCAAAAGAAACATGTTTGTTCTGAGATAGTCACTCCTTAGACTCCTCTGGTCCCAGTCCACAGGAGCTCAGGTGCAGGTGGCAGGAGACATGCTTCCAAACTCCACGGAGCGAGCCATCACCATCGCTGGCACTCCCCAGTCCATCATCGAATGTGTAAAGCAGATCTGTGTGGTCATGCTCGAGGTCCGTCCTTTAACTCCTCATATGTTTCTCTAAGTCTATATTAAATCATCTTCTCTTTGTTTTAAAGTCTCCTCCCAAAGGGGTCACCATTCCTTATCGACCAAAGCTTTCAGGATCCCCAGTCATCTTTGCAGGAGGACAGGTAACTTGGACTAAACTAGACCTGAGTCTCTGCTCAGGGCTTGGACTAAACTAGACCTGAGTCTCTTCTCATGGCTTGGACTAAACTAGACCTGAGTCGCTGCTCATGGCTTGGACTAAACTAGACCTGAGTCTCTGCTCATGGCTTGGACTAAACTAGACCTGAGTCTCTTCTCATGGCTTGGACTAAACTAGACCTGAGTCTCTGCTCATGGCTTGGACTAAACTAGACCTGAGTCTCTGCTCATGGCTTGGACTAAACTAGACCTGAGTCTCTGCTCATGGCTTGGACTAAACTAGACCTGAGTCTCTGCTCATGGCTTGGACTAAACTAGACCTGAGTCGCTGCTCATGGCTTGGACTAAACTAGACCTGAGTCTCTGCTCATGGCTTGGACTAAACTAGACCTGAGTCTCTGCTCATGGCTTGGACTAAACTAGACCTGAGTCGCTGCTCATGGCTTGGACTAAACTAGACCTGAGTCTCTGCTCATGGCTTGGACTAAACTAGACCTGAGTCTCTGCTCATGGCTTGGACTAAACTAGACCTGAGTCTCTGCTCATGGCTTGGACTAAACTAGACCTGAGTCTCTGCATGATCCCACATCCAACTGTTTTCTTTTGACTGCAGGCGTATGCTGTACAAGGACAACACGCCATTCCACAGCCAGATGTGAGTCCGCTCAACACACAACACAGACTGAACACACAACACACACTGAACACACACTCGACACACTCCTGTATTCAGAATGACCTAATATCGATCGATGCACTAATGACAAAGTGAACTGACCAGCGCAGGGTGTTAGAATAATGCAGCCTTAAAATGAACGGAGAATGGCCTGATTTAGAGAAAGTCATAGATTGTAAGGTATAGATTTATTTGTTGCGTCGTGTCAAAGATCAGAGCAGATGCAAAGAACGTCTTGTTCTTGAGTCTGAGAAAAACAGATGTAAATAATGCCCAGAAACAGTGGATTATTGGTCACATATTTGAAGTGGATTATATCCATAGCTCTCTGTTGTGCGACTGTCTCGCTGTAAACAGTGTGTGCAGAGTTGTGCGTCTTCTGTCTGGGTTTTGGGGGTTGTTGTCGTCTGTATTTACAAGGGTTTGTTTGTTTCTGTGTTTTTCTTTCCCTCCGCTCTCACTCTCAGTCTTCCTCTGCTGCTATCTCTCCACAGCTCACCAAGCTTCATCAGTTAGCTATGCAGCAGAGCCCATTCCCCATCGCCACCAGCAATACTGGATTCACTGGTACTCGAGTACATGTGTGTGTCGTGGTGATCAGGGCCGTGGTTAAACTGCTGCTTCTTCACAGGAATAGACGCGGCTTCGCAGAACGCCACCCATGAGATGACCATTCCAAACGACGTAAGCTTCTTCCACTGAATCTTTCTCAGGAGCAGTCTAGTCTGAGGAAACCTGACGGGCCTTGCCTTCTCTCGCTTCAGCTCATTGGATGCATCATCGGCCGCCAGGGAGCCAAGATCAATGAAATTCGACAAATGTCCGGTGCCCAGATAAAGATTGCGAACCCGGTGGATGGCTCCACCGATCGCCAGGTCACCATCACCGGCACCGCGGCCAGCATCAGTCTGGCAGAGTACCTCATTAACGCCAGGTCAGTGCCTTCTTCATACAGGAAGTTATGTAAACGTTAGACTAAAGCTATCGTTTTAGCTACAGTGTTCTCAGTGAGGGTTACTATGGTAACCCTCACTGAGACCACCTACTTCCATACTTTAGTCTGTTCTTATTAACCGTCCCGCCATAACACTACAGCCTCCTGTGACCCACCCCGACTGTGTTGTCCCTCCTTGTCTTTCTCTCCACAGTGTAGAGTCCTCTAAACCTCCTCCCTCCTCCTCCTCCTCCTCCTTGAACCCCGAACAGGCCTCCTCTGCTTCTACTACCACCACCACCTCCTCTGCTGCTAGCTCCACCTTGTCCTCCACCTCCTCCTGTATGGTGCCCCCTTCAGCCTCCATCCCTCTCTCCTCCTCCTCCTCCTCCACCACTGACTCCCTGCTTCCCAGCTCTCCTGCCTGTGTGTCGAGTCTCCTCAGTCTCAAGCCCCTTCCTCTCCTCGCCCTCCATGTTGTCAGCGGCAACAGTAACCCCAGTAACCCCACACACCCCAGTCTCCCTGAACCCAAAATGTCCTCTGAGCTGAGTTCCAAGTCCAAACGGCGAAGGCTGTCCCCTTATTAATGCTGGAAGAATAATCCTCTGCCACAGTGCGTTTAGTGCTTCACCTGGCTCTGGCTCAGTCTTTAGCCCTAGCTACATGTGCACACATATACATGCTAACCTACATGTATACATGCTAACCTACATGTGTACATGCTAACCTACATGTGTACATGCTAACCTACATGTGTACATGCTAACCTACATGTGTACATGCTAACCTACATGTGTACATGCTAACCTACATGTGTACATGCTAACCTACATGTGTACATATACATGCTAACCTACATGTGTACATATACATGCTAACCTACATGTGTACGTATACATGCTAACCTACATGTGTACGTATACATGCTAACCTACATGTGTACATATACATGCTAACCTACATGTGTACATGCTAACCTACATGTGTACATGCTAACCTACATGTGTACATGTATACATGCTAACCTACATGTGTACATGCTAACCTACATGTGTACATATACATGCTAACCTACATGTGTACATGTATACATGCTAACCTACATGTGTACATATACATGCTAACCTACATGTGTACATATACATGCTAACCTACATGTGTACATATACATGCTAACCTACATGTGTACATATACATGCTAACCTACATGTGTACATATACATGCTAACCTACATGTGTACATATACATGCTAACCTACATGTGTACATATACATGCTAACCTACATGTGTACATATACATGCTAACCTACATGTGTACATATACATGCTAACCTACATGTGTACGTATACATGCTAACCTACATGTGTACATATACATGCTAACCTACATGTGTACATATACATGCTAACCTACATGTGTACATGTATACATGCTAACCTACATGTGTACATGCTAACCTACATGTGTACATGCTAACCTACATGTGTACATATACATGCTAACCTACATGTGTACATATACATGCTAACCTACATGTGTACATGCTAACCTACATGTGTACATGCTAACCTACATGTGTACATATACATGCTAACCTACATGTGTACATATACATGCTAACCTACATGTGTACATATACATGCTAACCTACATGTGTACATATACATGCTAACCTACATGTGTACATATACATGCTAACCTACATGTGTACGTATACATGCTAACCTACATGTGTACGTATACATGCTAACCTACATGTGTACATGTATACATGCTAACCCACATGTGCACATACATGTGCATGGTGCCACCGTCACGCTGGTGCAGCTCTGCTCAGGGGCGGCTCTTTGAGGATGACACATGATGTTTGTGTGTAAATATTGTGTCGTGTTTGTGTGAAATGTGCTGCTCTCAGGAACCACAGACTGATGTAGATGTTTAGTTTCATGATTACTCACAAACTCCTGTTTATTGTGTTTTTATCTACAACAAACATTTGAACTTCTAAAATGACAGTAAAGTAATGCTTTGAGCTGCTGTCTCCATATTGTTTGTTATTGCATGTTTTTAGTCAATAGTCTATAGAACAGACTATTCTGGAGAGCGCCCTCTTCAGGCTGGAGAGCGCCCTCTTCAGGCTGGAGAGCGCCTTCTTCAGGCTGGAGAGAGCGCCCTCTTCAGGCTGCAGAGCGCCCTCTTCAGGCTGGAGAGAGCGCCCTCTTCAGGCTGCAGAGCGCCCTCTTCAGGCTGGAAAGGGCGCCCTCTTCAGGCTGGAGAGCGCCCTCTTCAGGCTGCAGAGCGCCTTCTTCAGGCTGGAGAGCGCCCTCTTCAGGCTGGAGAGCGCCCTCTTCAGGCTGGAGAGCGCCCTCTTCAGGCTGGAGAGCGCGCCCTCTTCAGGCTGGAGAGCGCCCTCTTCAGGCTGGAGAGCGCCCTCTTCAGGCTGGAGAGCGCCCTCTTCAGGCTGGAGAGAGCGCCCTCTTCAGGCTGGAGAGCGCCCTCTTCAGGCTGGGGAGGGCGCCCTCTTCAGGCTGGAGAGAGCGCCCTCTTCAGGCTGGAGAGAGCGCCCTCTTCAGGCTGGAGAGAGCGCCCTCTTCAGGCTGCAGAGCGCCTTCTTCAGGCTGGAGAGCGCCCTCTTCAGGCTGGAGAGAGCGCCCTCTTCAGGCTGCAGAGCGCCCTCTTCAGGCTGCAGAGCGCCCTCTTCAGGCTGGAGAGCGCCCTCTTCAGGCTGCAGAGCGCCTTCTTCAGGCTGGAGAGCGCCCTCTTCAGGCTGGGGAGCGCCCTCTTCAGGCTGGAGAGCGCCTTCTTCAGGCTGCAGAGCGCCCTCTTCAGGCTGGAGAGCGCCTTCTTCAGGCTGCAGAGCGCCTTCTTCAGGCTGGAGAGAGCGCCCTCTTCAGGCTGGAGAGCGCCCTCTTCAGGCTGGAGAGAGCGCCCTCTTCAGGCTGGAGAGAGCGCCCTCTTCAGGCTGGAGAGCGCCCTCTCCAGGCTGCAGAGCGCCCTCTTCAGGCTGGAGAGCGCCCTCTTCAGGCTGGAGAGCGCCCTCTTCAGGCTGCAGAGCGCCCTCTTCAGGCTGGAGAGCGCCCTCTTCAGGCTGGAGAGCGCCCTCTTCAGGCTGGAGAGCGCCCTCTTCAGGCTGGAGAGCGCCCTCTTCAGGCTGGGGAGAGCGCCCTCTTCAGGCTGGAGAGGGCGCCCTCTTCAGGCTGGGGAGAGCGCCCTCTTCAGGCTGGGGAGCGCCCTCTTCAGGCTGCAGAGCGCCCTCTTCAGGCTGCAGAGCGCCCTCTTCAGGCTGGAGAGCGCCCTCTTCAGGCTGGAGAGCGCCCTCTTCAGGACGGTAGTGCAGTACATGTGGATATCCTTTGGATGAAGTGACCGCAGTGATTAAAGTAGAGGAGAAAGTGTGTAATGACCCAGGACTGGTCCTTTTGGAAAAACATCAGATTTCAGCCCAATTAAAAATGATTTTGGGTGTTTTTGAATCTTTATTCTGAGCCGAGGAAAGGATTAAAACCAAATTTAACCTCCAGCTGCAGTCTCATGGTTCGCAGTTCTGTTGTTCCATTAACAAATATTATTGTAATGCTATTGTACTGTCGTAGTGCTAACGCTAACGCAGGCATTTATTTAGTAGTTACTCTTGAGACGAGGAGGTCTACTTAGGAACCTCTGGGAGCTACTGTAAGGTTAGGTGAGCTACTGCTAGCTCCTCCTGCTGTGGGTCAGAGGCCCCTGAGGACCTGGGGGCCCCTGAGGCCCTGGCACAGAGCATTGTATTGACTGTAGCCTGTTTGTTGGTCTCTCACTTCTTTTAGGCTGTCGTCTGAGGCCACAGGACTGACGACCAACTGACACCAACTGACACCAACTGACGCCGTCTGCACTAAACCTTTTGTAAACTTCTCTGATCTCACTGCAGCCGCTGAAGACTCTGCTTTTTACATTTATTTATTTCTTGATTTCGATGTGAAACTCGACCGGGCTTCTCTGAGCTTTGTCGTTTTTTATGATTTTGTTCCATTTCAAATCAAGTCATTTTAAACCTTCCTTTAGTCTTTATTTTACATTTCAGAAAATGTTTAAAATGATGTTTATGCAAATAATGGAGTCTGAGCACGACTCGGTCTTTCACCGGTTTGTAGAGGTCAAAGTTCAGTGTCACATCATGTTAGAACCATTTAAGTTTAGCTGCTCCTTCTCTGCACGTCACTGCGTCATTCCTGCCTCGTCTGGATCATGATGGCTTCTATTTACTGCTATGGAAAGGTTAGGGCCGGGGCTGGGGCCGGGTCCGGTCTCTGGGCCAGGGCCCCTAACCCAGGACCTGGGTTAGGGGCCCTGGCCCTTGCTAGGGCCCTGGCTCTAGGTAGGGGCCCTGGCTCTGGGGGCCCTGGCTCTAGGGGCCCTGGCTCTAGGGGCCCTGGCTCTGGGGGCCCTGGCCTCATTCAGAAGCAGAGAATCTCACTTTTTGTAAAGACTGATGTAAACTAAAATGTTAAAAAAAACTATTTGTTTTAAACGGAGGAAATATTTTTTGTAAGAACCAAAGGATGAACTGAGTCTGACCACGACGCTCTGTAAACAATAAATATGTTGAGCTAAAGTCTCTTTGTGTAAATGTTTCTCTGAAGTCGACACAAACTTTGGTTTTGAGAAGGATTTAATCTTTGCATTTGTTCACACATTCTTCACACGGGTCAGTTCCAGGAGGCAGCCTGCAGGGGGCAGTGTGGTGGCAACACTTGGATCTGAGATGTTCTAACCAAATAAACCGGGTTCAGACACTTCTATAATGAGCTGATGATACTTTGCTTCTTTTCATTTTGATTGACAGCTCCTGACCCGACACAGCTTAAAATAACTTCTATTGCTTCACCAAAAACAGCACCTTTAAAGTATACAATCTCACGTTTTAGAAAATTTGTTCTATTTTACAACATCACACATGGTATTTACAACATCACACATGGTATTTACAACACACATGGTATTACATCATTTTTGCAAGAAATGTATTAAATAAGTTTAAAAAAAATGTAAACTTTGTTTCAAACTAGGAATAATTGACTGTAAAGTAAGACATAAATGCAATATTAGCACGTTAGCATGTTAGCATGCTACAGCCACACTGAAGTAAACCCTGATATTTGTTAAAACATTCAATCCTTAAATAATAAAACCCATGAAAGTAAAATGCTCTGTTGGATGTGTCCAAAGCTCATGAGAATCCCACATGTGGAGAACATTCATCTGGACGCTCTGTGATGTCACAGCTCAGGGTCTGTCCTGGTCCAGCTCCGTGCTGTCACAGTCTGAGTCATCGTAAAGGCCCTGGAGACACAACCACAGCCTTTATTATTCTATAATGTTCATATTTATTATTATTCTATAATGTTCATATTTATTATTATTCTATAATGTTCATGATGTGGTTAAACTGTCTCTGAAAACTGCAACACACCCAGACCTCAGCCTGCTCCAGAGACACATCACCCCCGTCCTCAAAACACACACAAGGTCCTCCTCCTTTGGCCTTTAACCTTTAACCTTTAGCCTCACTAACACTAACCCAACCTTTATTTATCCTTTATGTAACCAGGAAAAATCCCACTGAGATTAAGAACCTCTTTATCAAGGGAGTCCTGGCCAAGAGGCTGCAAAGTTCATAACCTGAACCCTTTATACTGTATCTCATACGGACCGAGTCTGGACCCTGAGGACCGAGTCTGGACCCTGAGGACCGAGTCTGGACCCTGAGGACCGAGTCTGGACCCTGAGGACCGAGTCTGGACCCTGAGGACCGAGTCTGGACCCTGAGGATCGAGTCTGGACCCTGAGGACCTTTAAGTTCCTCACCTCGTAATGGTGGTCGTTTGAAGCCAGCTGACTCTTGACCTGCCTAAGCACCGCCTCCTTCTCTGAGAGACCGTCAGAGCCCAGGGTGGGGTCGGAGCCCAGGGTGGGGTCACAGGGGTCCGCTGGGATCTCGGAGCCCTGAGACAGGAGGTCGTCAGTGTTGGTGCTGACCACGTCGGGCGTCCCGCTGTGGGAGTGGTCTGTGGTGTTTCCTTCTTCTCCGTCAGACACCGACAGGTTTTCAGAACTGAACGTGGACACGGACTGACACTTGGTCATGCTCATGGTGCGCCTGCGAACACATCATACATGTAACATTATATACTGTATAATTATATATATAATATATTTATAGTATTTACCGTCTCCGTGGCAACTCTACCTCACTGTCCACTTCTCCCTCCTCCTCCTCGGACGACAAGCCTCGTCTCTGAGACACAAAAGAGTCAGTCTTTAAACACACACATATATATATATATGTATATGTATATACATAAATATATATATTATATATTATAATGTGTATATACACATGTGTATATATATGTGTATAAAAACCTCGTCTCTGTTAAGAGTTCACTTCATCAACACTGACTCTGAGTGTCTTTGTATACATTTTATATATATATATATATATATATAGTATATATATATATCCCCTTGAACCTTTCAACATTTCGCCACATTTCAGGCTTCAAACATAAAGATATAACATTTTCATTTTTTTACCATGAATCAACAACAAGTGGGACACAATCGTGAAGTGGAACGAAATTTATTGGATGATTTAAACTTTTTTAACAAATAAAAAACTGAAAAGTGGGGCATGCAATATTATTCGGCCCCTTTACTTTCAGTGCAGCAAACTCAGTCCAGAAGTTCAGTGAGGATCTTTGAATGATCCAATGTTGTCCTAAATGACTGATGATGATAAATAGAATGCTCCTGTGTGTAATCAAGTCTCCGTATAAATGCACCTGCTCTTTGATAGTCTCAGGGTTCTGTTTAAAGCACAGAGAGAACCATGAAGACAAAGGAACACACCAGGCAGGTCCGAGATACTGTTGTGGACAAGTTTAAAGCCGGATTTGGATACAAAAAGATTTCCCAAGCTTTAAACATCTCAAGGAGCACTGTGCAAGCAATTATATTGAAATGGAAGGAGTATCAGACCACTGCAAATCTACCAAGACCCGGCCGTCCCTCCAAACTTTCATCTCAAACAAGGAGAAGACTGATCAGAGATGCAGCCAAGAGGCCCATGATCACTCTGGATGAACTGCAGATAACTACAGCTGAGGTGGGAGAGTCTGTCCATAGGACAACAATCAGTCGTGCACTGCACAAATCTGGCCTTTATGGAAGAGTGGCAAGAAGAAAGCCATTTCTCAAAGATATCCATAAAAAGTATTGTTTAAAGTTTGCCACAAGCCACCTGGGAGACACACCAAACATGTGGAAGAAGGTGCTCTGGTCAGATGAAACCAAAATCAAACTTTTTGGCCACAATGCAAAACGATATGTTTGGCGTAAAAGCAACACAGCTCATCACCCTGAACACACCATCCCCACTGTCAAACATGGTGGTGGCAGCATCATGCTTTGGGCCTGCTTTTCTTCAGCAGGGACAGGGAAGATGGCTAAAATTGATGGGAAGATGGATGGAGCCAAATACAGGACCATTCTGGAAGAAAACCTGTTGGAGTCTGCAAAAGACCTGAGACTGGGACGGAGATTTATCTTCCAACAGGACAATGATCCAAAACATAAAGCCAAATCTACAATGGAATGGTTCACAAATAGACGTATCCAGGTGTTAGAATGGCCAAGTCAAAGTCCAGACCTGAATCCACTCGAGAATCTGTGGAAAGAGCTGAAGACTGCTGTTCACAAACGCTCTCCATCCAACCTCACTGAGCTCCAGCTGTTTTGCAAGGAAGAATGGGCAAGAATTCCAGTCTCTCGATGTGCAAAACTGATAGAGACATACCCCAATCGCCTTGCAGCTGTAATTGCAGTAAAAGGTGGCGCTACAAAGTATTAGCGCAAGGGGCCGAATAATATTGCACGCCCCACTTTTCAGTTTATTTGTTACAATTTTTTAAATTATCCAATAAATTTCGTTCCACTTCACGATTGTGTCCCACTTGTTGTTGATTCATGACAAAGAATTTAATTTTTATATCTTTATGTTTGAAGCCTGAAATGTGGCGAAATGTTGAAAGGTTCAAGGGGGTATACCTATATATATATATATATATATATACATATATATATACTGTATATACATATATATAACTCCAGACAACTTACTATGATATGAAATTAACAAAATTTCACTTTTATAAGTCAGAAGTATTTTGACATTTATTCATAAAAAGAAAAATGGCTTTTTATCACATCTGCAGTAGGTCCTTATGGTCCTGTATAGTCCTCACAGTCCTAGTCCTGGTCCTGGTCCCCACAGTCCTGGTCCTGGTCCTCACAATCCTAGTCCTGGTCCTGGTCCTGGTCCCCACAGTCCTAGTCCTGGTCCCCACAGTCCTGGTCCTGGTACTCAAAATCCTAGTCCTGGTCCTAGTCCTGGTCCCCACAGTCCTAGTCCTGGTCCTCACAATCCTAGTCCTGGTCCTAGTCCTGGTCCCCACAGTCCTGGTCCTGGTCCTCACAATCCTAGTCCTGGTCCTAGTCCTGGTCCCCACAGTCCTAGTCCTGGTCCTCACAGTCCTAGTCCTGGTCCTAGTCCTGGTCCTCACAGTCCTAGTCCTGGTCCTAGTCCTGGTCCTCACAGTCCTAGTCCTGGTCCTCACAGTCCTAGTCCTGGTACTGGTCCTGGTCTTCACCTGGCTGCGGGTCACAGCTGCCCTGTAGAGTCGTGCTGCAGGCGTGAGCCTCTGACTCCTGGGAGAGCGAGTGGTCACAGCTCCTTCTTCTTTGTCGTCTCCGTCATGTACTCGAGTACTGCCCAGCACAGAGTACTCATGTACTCGAGTACTGCCCAGCACAGAGTACTCATGTACTCGAGTACTGCCCAGCACAGAGTACTCATGTACTCGAGTACTGCCCAGCACAGAGGTCCTGCCGGCCGCGCCCCGCCCACACGGAGAGTCTGGACTGCTGGAGAAGGGGATGGAGCCTGCGTCTTCACTGAGGGTCTCGCTGTGAGGAGTTTGGACTAAATCATCCGTCCTCACTCCGACTGCGACCCCCCGAGGAGGCCCCCGAGGCCCCCCAGGACCCCCAGGACCCCCAGGACCCTCAGGACCACTGTCCAGACCTGAAGACCTCTGGCCCGCCTTCAGCTGGTCGGCCTGCAGAGTGGTGGAGATGAGGTCTGGGCTGGAGGAGGACATCTTCTTGAGCAGAAGGTCGTGTTGAAGACCCTTGAGCGCAGCACTTCGGTCCAACAGGTGCTTGGTGCTGGAGCAGGTGCTGTTGACCACGGCCAACGAGGAGGAGAGTGAGGCCTTGAGCTGAGCCAGCTCGCCGCTGCCTTTCCCCGCCTTCCTGTAGCGAGGCTTCCCTCGGCGAGAGCGGCCCGGAGACGTGGGGCCTTTGTTCGGGATCGAGACCTGCGTCAGAGACGAGTCCAGCTTCGGGAGGATCACCTCGGACTTCAGTAAGTCCGGTCTGGAACAAGACCGGTCACAGTCAATAAGGAGACAGAGACCAACTCAGACTAACGAGTGAATGATGAAGATGAACTGTTTTACACATTTTGATCCATAACGACAGAAACTAAAAACTAGAATATTGTTAAAGTTCATGTATTTCTAATATTCAACATAATCTTTATTCCAGACGCTTCAGATGCCTTTGATCATGTTTATTATGATTATTACCCTCCCTTTGATCATGTTTATTATGATTATTACCCTCCCTTTGATCATGTTTATTATGATTATTACCCTCCCTTTGATCATGTTTATTATGATTATTACCCTCCCCCTGGACTGCCACCTTAACGTGGTGGGGGAGTTTGACTCGGATGATCCTGGGAGCTATGTTGTCTGGGGCTTCATGCTCCTGGTAGGGTCTCCCATGGTACACAGGTCCTTATGCCCCTGGTAGGGTCTCCCATGGTACACAGGTCCTTATGCCCCTGGTAGGGTCTCCCATGGTACACAGGTCCTTATGCCCCTGGTAGGGTCTCCCATGGTACACAGGTCCTTATGCCCCTGTAGGGTCTCCCATGGTACACAGGTCCTTATGCCCCTGTAGGGTCTCCCATGGTACACAGGTCCTTATGCCCCTGGTAGGGTCTCCCATGGTACACAGGTCCTTATGCCCCTGGTAGGGTCTCCCATGGTACACAGGTCTCGGGTGACGAGTCAGACGAAGAGCAGTCTGAAGCCAACATGGACAGCACAATAAGGACAACAGTGACGTCGCCCGGCATGGCGCAGCCGGGGCCCCACCCTGGAGCCAGGCCTGGGGTCTGGGCTCGCAAGCGAGTGTCTGGTGGGCGGGCCTTAGCCCACGGGGCCCGGCTGGCCTCAGCCCGAACAGACGACGTGGGCAGTCCCTCCTGTGGGCCCACCACCTGCAGAGGGGTCCGTCGAGCATTGGTGCAGAGAGGACTGGGCAGCAGTCGAAGGCGGAGACCTCGGCGACCCAGTCCACACACCCAACATCTGGCTCTTGGGACGTGGAACGTCACCTCGCTGGGGGGGAAGGTTGAGAGGTACCGACTAGAGATAGTCGGCCTCACCTCCACACACAGCTTGGGCTCTGGAACCCAACTCCTTAAGAGGGGTTGGACGCTCCACTTTTCTGGTGTTTCCCGCGGGGAGAGGTGGCGAGCTGGGGTGGCCATACTCATTGCCCCCATCTCAGCCGCCACGTGTTCAGATTCAGATTCAGATTCATTTATTTGCCATTTGCAGTAAAACCACATTGGAAAAACTGTGCAAGACTACCCCGGTCTTGGAGTTCTCCCCGGTGAATGAGAGGGTCGCGTCCCTCCGCCTCAGTGTGGGGGACAAGTCTCTCACTGTTGTTGTGCCTACGGGCCTAACAGCAGTGCAGAGTACTCAGCTCTGCAACATCACGTGGCGATCGGGGGCGGTGCCAATGGAGTGGGAGACCGGGGTGGTGGTCCCTCTCTACAAGAGAAGGGGGACCGGAGGGTGTGTTCCAATTATCGTGGGATCACACTCCTCAGCCTCCCCAGTAAGGTCTACTCCAAGGTACTGGAGAGGAGGCTACGGCCGATGGTCGAATCTCGGATTCAGGAGGAGCAGTGTGGTTTTCGTCCCGGTCGCGGAACACTGGACCAGCTCTATACTCTCCATCGGATACTCGAGGGTTCATGGGAGTTTTCCCACCCTGTCCACATGTACTTTGTGGATTTGGAGAAGGCGTTCGACCGTGTTCGGTCCCTGTATGACCGGAGCCAGAGCTGTGTTCGCATTGCCGGCAGTAAGTCAGACCTGTTCCCGGTGAGTGTTGGCCTCCGACAGGGCTGCCCTTTGTCACCGGTTCTGTTCACTGTGTTTATGGACACAATTTCTAGGCGCAGCCAGGGGTCGGAGGGGGTCCGGTTCAGAGACCACAGGATTTCATCTCTGCTGTTTGCAGACGATGTTGTCCTGTTGGCTCCAACGAACCAGGACCTGCAGCATGCACTGGGACGGTTTGCAGCCGAGTGTGAAGCGGCTGGGATGAGAATCAGCACCTCCAAATCTGAGGCCATGGTGCTCGACCGGAAAAAGGTGCCTTGCCCTCTGCAGGTGGGTGGAGAGGTCCTTCCTCAAGTGGAGGAGTTCAAGTATCTCGGGGTCTTGTTCACGAGTGAGGGAAGAATGGAGCGTTGTGGTGAAGAGGGAGCAGCGTCTGCAGTCAGAGCTGTATCGGACCGTTGTGGTGAAGAGGGAGCTGAGCCGAAAGGCAAAGCTCTCGATTTACCGGTCAATCTTCGTTCCCTCCCTCACCTATGGTCATGAGGGAGCAGCGTCTGCAGTCAGAGCTCCCTCATCTATGGTCATGAGCTTTGGGTAATGACCGAAAGAACGAGATCGCGGATACAAGCGGTCGAAATGAGCTTCCTCCACAGAGTGGCTGCTCCCTTAGAGATAGAGGAGCTCAGTCACACGGGAGGAGCTCGGAGTAGAGCCACTGCTCCCTTAGAGATAGGGTGAGGAGCTCAGTCACACGGGAGGAGCTCGGAGTAGAACCGCTGCTTCTCCACGTCGAGAGGAACCAGTTGAGGTGGCTCGGGCATCTGTTCCGGATGCTTCCTGGACGCCTCCCTGGGGAGGTGTTCCGGGCACGTCCCACCGGGAGGAGGCCCCGGGGAAGACCCAGGACACAGAGGGACTATGTCTCTCAGCTGGTCTGGGAACGCCTTGGGGTCCCCCCGGACGAGCTGGAGGAAGTGTGTGTGGATAGGGAAGTCTGGGCGTCTCTGCTTAGACTGCTGCCCCCGCGACCCGACAACGGATGAAGCGGAAGAAAATGGATGGATGGATGATTATTATGATTATTGTAGCTCAGTCCATTTTCACATTTCTGAAGTTTGTTTTTTACTGCAGTAACTAACGCTAAACTCTGTGTCTGAGATAAAGTATACTGTACAGTACTGCTATACCATAAAGTACTGTTATACTCTACTGCGATACTCTAAAGTACTGCTATACTCTGTTGTAGAGTACAGTACTCGTGTACGCTGAAGTACTTCTATACTCTAAACTTTCGAGTATAGAAGTACTTTACTTTAGAGTCTAAAGTTAAATACTTGTATACTCTAAAGTACTCTGCAGTACTTGTATACTCTAAAGCACTCTGCAGTACTTGTACTCTGCAGTACTAATACTCTGCAGTACTTGTATACTCTAAAGTACTCTGCAGTACTTGTATACTATGCAGTACTTGTACTGTGCAGTACCTCTTGCTGTTCAGCTTCTGGGGGACGTTTCGTTTCTTCAGGAGTTTGTCGATGGAGTTTGAGGAAGTGGAGAGTCGCTGATGTTTGAAGAGTCCGGGGTTTTTCTTATCCAGAGACTGCTCTCTCCTGAGGTCAAAGGTCACACATGTGTATACGTCATTAATATATGTGTCCTGAGGTCAGAGGTCACACGTGTATACGTCATTAACATATGTGTCCTGAGGTCAGAGGTCACATGTGTATACGTCATTAACATATGTGTCCTGAGGTCAGAGGTCACACATGTGTATACGTCATTAATATTTGTGTCCTGAGGTCAGAGGTCACATGTGTATACGTCATTAATATATGTGTCCTGAGGTCAGAGGTCACACGTGTATACGTCATTAACATATGTGTCCTGAGGTCAGAGGTCACACGTGTATACGTCATTAACATATGTGTCCTGAGGTCAGAGGTCACGTCATTAACATATGTGTCCTGAGGTCAGAGGTCACACATGTGTATACGTCATTAACATATGTGTCCTGAGGTCAGAGGTCACACGTGTATACGTCATTAACATGTGTGTCCTGAGGTCAGAGGTCACACATGTGTATACGTCATTAACATATGTGTCCTGAGGTCAGAGGTCACACATGTGTATACGTCATTAACATATGTGTCCTGAGGTCAGAGGTCACACATGTGTATACGTCATTAACATATGTGTCCTGAGGTCAGAGGTCACACATGTGTATACGTCATTAACATATGTGTCCTGAGGTCAGAGGTCACACATGTGTATACGTCATTAACATATGTGTCCTGAGGTCAGAGGTCACACATGTGTATACGTCATTAACATATGTGTCCTGAGGTCAGAGGTCACACATGTGTATACGTCATTAACATATGTGTCCTGAGGTCAGAGGTCACACATGTGTATACGTCATTAATATTTGTGTCCTGAGGTCAGAGGTCACACATGTGTATACGTCATTAATGTCATATAAAACTAAAAGCAGTCAAATTGACTGCTTTGGGAGTTCTGTCACTGACTTTGACAGTGACATTAGAACAGAGATGTTAGAGTTTGTGTGTTGCTCCCCAGCTCTATGTTAGAGTTAGTTAGAGTTTGTTAGAGTTAGTTAGAGTTATGAGAGAGATGTGGTGTATTAAACTGCTGTACCCACACTGACCACCAGGTGGAGCAGTTGTATTGGGAGAGCTGCAGTGAAGACCTGTTACAGTTCACTCTGGCCCAGTCCCACACCCACACTGCCCCCTACGCCCTCCTATGAAGTGTGCATGTGTCTGAAGTGCACACAGGGCTGGAGTGGCAGGTTACGTCATCGACTCGTCAGAGATGGTCATTTTCAGACCTAAACTTTATAAACATTAAAGTTAATTTTGTCTGACCCTTTGGGAAACAAAATGAATTTCTTCACACACGTTAAAATACATTTATATTAGTTGTTTTTAATTAGAGATAGCTGTATAATTTTAAGTTAAATGTGGGTAACTAACTATCTGGTCAGTTTTTATACATTCTAAGATTATTGTACTAAGTGTAAAGTTTAAATTGAATGTTATATAAACGCTTGCTTTAAAAAGTTATTAAATTGTTAAAACACAATGTCCGTAATTCTTCATCAGACGTTTATGCTTCTTTCCAAGTAACAGCAAAACTTATTTACACACATACTGCATATATATTTCAACATTTATATTTAAATGCATTTTCCCGTCGTTTTGGTGTGTACCGCAAAGAATTATGGGCAATATCCTTCGCCAGAGTGCGCATAGATGCAGGCTACGGCGAAGTGTGGATCAGGGGCGCAAAGGGGGCGGGGCCAAAGACCTCCCTGAAACATTGGGATTGGACCCTACGCACTCGCACACTTTATCGGGAACGCGCAAATGAGGGGCGCGAGGTGGAAGTGCGAGTGTTGGGACGGGGCCTACATCTTAGACGTTCATCAGACACTGACGTTACTGATACAACTATAACTGTTAGTTAGTTAGAGTTTAGTTAGAGTTTGTCCGAGTCAGAGTTATTTGGAGTTAGTTAGTTAGAGTTAAGTTAGAGTTAGCTGGACATACTTGTGCAGCTCCTTCTCTTTGACCTCCAGCTGGAGCATGATGGCGTTCAGTTCCATGTAAAGGTTATTGGCTCGTTCCAGTTTCCTCTCGTAGTGTTCTCTGATGTCCAGGGCGTGTCTGCAAGCACACAGGTAATGTCCCTGTGATACCTGTGGTCCCTGTGATACCTGACCCTGTGATCTCTGTCCCTGTGATCCATGTCCCTGAGATCCACTATACCCTGTGATCCCTGACCCTGTGATCCCTGTCCCTGTGATACCTGACCCTGTGATCCCTGTCCCTGTGATACCTGACCCTGTGATCCCTGTCCCTGAGATCCACTATACCATGTGATCCCTGTCCCTGTGATACCTGTCCCTGTGATCTCTGTCCCTGTGGACCCTGTCCCTGTGATCTCTGTCCCTGTGATCCCTGTCCCTGTGATACCTGACCCTGTGATCCCTGTCCCTGAGATCCACTATACCATGTGATCCCTGTCCCTGTGATACCTGTCCCTGTGATCTCTGACCCTGTGATCCCTGTCCCTGTGATACCTGACCCTGTGATCCCTGTCCCTGAGATCCACTATACCATGTGATCCCTGTCCCTGTGATACCTGTCCCTGTGATCTCTGACCCTGTGATCCCTGTCCCTGTGATACCTGACCCTGTGATCCCTGTCCCTGAGATCCACTATACCCTGTGATCCCTGTCCCTGAGATACCTGTCCCTGTGATCTCT